CTGGGCCTCAGCCCTGGCTCCCTGTCTGCACGCTGCCTGGAGGCGATTCAGGCCCAATGCCTGGTTTCCATGGCAACTCTAGTTGAAATTACATTAAAAAGAAATGAAACCAGCAGCTTTTCTGGTTGGCAAGCAGGGGGAGGGGAGCTGGGCTGGGAAAGGCTGGGGGAGCTCAGTGGCAGGGGGCTGTGGAGCAGATGAGGGTCCACATGGGGTCCCAGCGCTGGGGAGGGGCCCAGCAGGGCTGGGGGGATGCAGAGACCCCTCCCACTGTGGCACCCAGTGTTGGCAACCCCGGGTCACATGGTGCTGGCTTGCATGCATGCTGTGCCTGGGGTCCAGCACCCCGACCCGGTGGGGTGATACCAGGGTCCTCCCGCTGCCTCTGTGGGGTAGGTGCCAGGGACAGACACAGGGACCATCCAGACCCTCTGCCAGTAGGTGCGGCCATGGCCAGGGTGGCTCTGAGCCAGCACAGGGCACCCTACCGAGCCTGGGAGCCCCCGGCCCCTGCATGCTCCAAGAAGAGGCAAGACACACCGCTATTAAAAATATCACTTCTGGTTTATTTGGAATTTGTTACTCTGTGTGGGTGACAGGGTATAAATACATTCTCCAATGAGCATCCTCACCCTCAGCCCTGCCCAGGGGCAGGGGCCGAGGCAGGGTGCAGAGCCGGGGCTGAGCTGGTCCCAGGCAGTAGGGTCAGCCGGCACCGGTGCGTCACGGCCGCCAGCACGGGCAGCGTCTGCCAGCCGGACCGTCTTGCACAGGGACAGGGACGAGGTATGGTGTCCCCGCAAGGACCTGTCCCTTCCTCCTGCCTCCCCAGGCGCCAGCGCCCACTGCAGGTGGCTGAGACTGGGGTGCCTGCGTGGGCTCCCGGGCAGCTCCTTCTCCGTGCCCAGCTGCACCGAAGCCCCTTGCCTTGAGCCCCACTACCCACAGTCACATGTGGTTTGGTGGCTGCCACCAACCCAGCGGGTGCCCTAGCCCTGGGGTGGGTGCTCCCAGCCCTATGCAGGCTGCATCATCCCCAGCTCAAGCAGCTCCTGCCCAGGTGTCTATCCCAGCTGCGTGCCCCAGACGCTGGAGCTGGGGTCACCCCATGATGGGGAAAAGGCCCCAGTGGGAAGAAGGTGGGAGGCAGAACTGCTGTCGGTGGGTGGCTCACCCTGCTCCTGCCAGCCCCGCAGAGCTCCCACCCCTGCCGCAGGCTGCAAACCTCTGGCTCTGCTTTTGGGGAGCGGTGCAGGCCCCAGGGCAGTGGTGAAGGGACGTGGGATGCTTCTAGGGGAGCAAGGTAGGGTGGGGAGCACTGGGACACCGTGCCGAAGAAGCTGCCCTGGGTTGATGGGGGTGGGCAGATGCTGCGGTGCTCACAGAGGGTGATGCCCATGCAGGGCGGTGGGTGGCACTGGCTGGTGTTGGCAGCAGGGTGGGCTGGGGCGGTGGGTGCTCGTGGGCAGGCCATCGGGTAGGCTATTTGGCTGAGATATGTGGGCACGGGCAACAGAGGAGGGAGAATATCAAAAATACAAAAGAGCGCAGCCCCATGGCGCAGGAGGCAGTGCCCCTTCTTACAGGCTTTTTATTTTATATCAAGAACACTTGGTTTTAAAATCTTTACAAAGGACAAAACGCGGCGACTCCGTTAGTGTGTAAAGAACTAAAGATCTGCTTAAAAAACGTCTCTGCAAAGAGAAACGACTGACACAAAAGAGATTCTCTGCAGCGCAAAGAGGGGCAGAGGTGCCAAGTCTCCAGCCTGGGGCCCCAGTCCGAAGGTCCCCAGGGTCCCTGAGCCCCAGCACCAGCCCTGGACCTTGCCCGCTCCCTCTGTCCTATAGCACCACGGCCTGGGGCCACTTCTTGACACAGTGAAGGAGCCTTTCCCAGGGCACTCGGGATGCCAAGCTGCCTTGGGGATGCCCGGGCACTGGCCAAGAGGGATGCCCAGCCCTGCTCCTCATCAGTCTTGGGGTGCTCAGCGGGCGGAGCGCTGGGGATGCGATTGCCCCGCAGGGAGGCACAGCCCCGGTGCGGGGAGCCTCGTGGCTGCTGCCAGCAGGGTCTCCCATGCCCGCCTGCACTGGTGCGTAGGTGCAGGGGCTACACCATGTCCCCCCTGCACCTCACCGGCGCTCCAGGGTGACCCACGAGGCCCTCCAGCTGGGAGCTGAGGGAGTCAAAGCACTTCTCAAAAGTTAGATAGGAACGAAAGAAAGCGCCGGGGGGAGAGTGGGGCATCCAACCTTGCCAGGACCTTGCAGGTCTCCGGGCTTGGTGCTGCACCATCTGTGGGTGCTGCCCCTCCGTCTGGGGGTTCCGTCGGCCCCGCTGGTCCCTCTGCCAGTGTCTGCTGCGTGCGTGTGCGTGCGTGCATGCGTGTGCGCCGGCGGCGGGCAGCTATACCCTGGTGGTAGAGTGTGAGTGTGGGAGCCCCGTGCTGTTGAAGCCGGCGGTGAAAGTGTTGTAGGGGTGCAGGGTCTGCAGCCCCACCAGCGAGTTGGGGATCATGGTGATGGTGTTGGGGGTCATGAGCGGGATGTCGTCCGGAGAGCGGCGCAAGGTGAGTGTGTAGTCGGGCAGAGCGGCCAGGCGCAGGGCGTCGTGGGGCGGCACAGCCTCGCACTCATGGTGCCCCTGGCTCACCTGCAAGGAGGGCATCTCCTCGTCGGGCGCGTGGGCGATGTCGTTGGTGGTGCCACGCTGGGGGCTGGGCTGCCGGTGTGTGTCCTGCCGGCGCTTGTCCTTGCGGTAGTAGAGGGCGGCGAAGGCCAGCACGTTGAGGAACAGGAGGGAGGCGCCCACAGCAATGGTGACGCTCAGCTCGGTGGAGTAATCACGGGGGCTCTCAAGCAGAGTGCCCGCCTCCTGCTCTGGGCTCCACTTCTCCTTCCCATTCTCGCTGTTGTAGGCAGGCGAGATGGCAGGGCGCTTGGTGGTCCAGATCTTGCCGTTGGGCCGGCGGGTGATGTGTGAGTTTTGCGTGGTGTCAGGCGGTGGCACTTTGGTGGTAGTGGAGGTGTAGTGGAACATATCATGCAGGTTGTACAGGTGGGGGACCAGGTGCTTCCAGAAAGCCACCTTGGTGGCCCGGTAGTGGTCGCGTACTCGTGGCTTCAGCCCAATGTGCAGGTACAGCTGGTCACGGGGGTTGTACTTGGACCAGGCTACCTCCTCAAACCGGTTGGCCTTGGTGTGGATGAACTTGGTGTCCTGGGGGACAGGCTTGTTGGGGTCCCTGTGAAATACAGGCAAAATAGAGCTAGCAGCATGAAAAGCCAGAGAGATGAGGAGGGAGAGCTGGATACAGAGATGGAGGCTGGGGGGACCTTTGCCAGTGGTGGCACAGGGTGGGCTGGCAAAAGGTTCTGCATGGCTTGGCAGCATCCCAACCCTGGGTCAAGTCTCACCCACAATAATCACAATCAAGCATCCTCCCCACCCCTGTGCTTGCCTGGGGGCTGGCCGTGCTCTTAGCTTCTCGCTGTGTGGTTGATGCCCTGACCCCAGTGAAAGTGCAGCACATGGACCTCTGGGCACAGGGGTGGTCAGTGTCCCACACCAGGCATGACACCCCACCACCACAGCATGCTCTCAAGGGATACAGCTGCAGTGAGTGCAGACCCCCCAGGCACAGCACTCATCCCCACTCACCCTGTCTTGGCAAAGTTAGTCCAGTAGGTCATCACCACGGCACTGAGCATGACATCATTCTTGGAGAAGTTGCAGGGAAAGA